TGAATTTATTTGCAAAAAAAGTTATATTCTTGTAAATAAATAAATCATAAATAAAAATAAAGATGGTACATTTGGAATGTTGAAATTTCCAAAAATACGAGTTTAGAACTAATAATTAGACATAGGATGCGTCATGACGTTATTTCCAGGGTCCCACCCGTTGCTGCTCTTCAGCAATTTTTTTTCTATGTTAGCAGAACAATTTTCTAGTTTTAAGTGAACTTGAATTGTTTCCATTACCATTAAAGGTTTTTGATTCTTGCTGCAAGTTACCCATTGTTGGCCTTGAATGCTATTAGGAATGGCAACGGTTTCTTCTAAAAATAAAAAAAAATCGCAAAAATTCGCAAAAAATTATAACTGTCATTTTAAAGTAAAGGGTTCGCAGAATTTAAATTCAAAAATTTATAGGACTATAATTCTATATATTTTTTAAATCCTGAGTTGAGATTTGATAATAGTTATTTATATAACTAGTACGGTATGAGCTTCATTACAGTAACGAGTGGGGAATATTGCCAAGACGAGGTCGTAGACCGAATCGTGGTAATCACACGGGTGGTGTACTAAGCGTTACCGTACGTGTGATATACAACTTTTTATGTACGACCCGGATTTTGAATGAATTTCAAAAAGTGCCGTTTTTCAATAAAAATGAGTTACGTAATGAGCTCTCATTACATCACTAGGCACGATAATGCAACTTATTACGTAACTCGAACAGGCTAAAATGAGTTACGTAATAAGCTCTTACAGTGTAGGTCGTACATAAAAGTATTTTAGATAGGTATTTTAATTAATTATCTGCAAAAGGCGAATAGTGTAACTGAGTACTAACCCTCTATATTATTGTCCATAACCCTCCTAATGTATTAAAAAAATATTCACATCAAAACAATAGAATGCACTTTTAAAATTAAATTTTATACTAACCTTCCAACAGATGCACAAAATTCTTTTTCGTTTTGTTTATCCCTGTTTTTTGGAAACTTATGAAAAAAAAGTCAACAATAATATGTACCTATAATCAACAGACATTTCTCTACAGATGGCCATATTTAATTATCCAAAAATAAATACAAACATTTTTGAATTTTGTCCATTGAGTGCAACACTGTGCGCTGTATCCCTTAGTTTCAATGGGATTAAATTGAAATTTTTTGGAGAGCCAATTTAGACCTTTGTTATCATGACTGACATAATAGAAATGCAGAAAAAAAATTATGAGTCACCATATTATATTTTGTTAAAGTTAATGACACGAAAATTGTTAAAATTGCAGTCAGAAACTCGATCGAGAAAACTTTTCTGTTTTTGAAGATAGATGTTGGCGATAGATGGCCGCTGCACAAGCAGTCGCCATGCGTATTCGTATCACAGTTTCAGAGGGCAGGGATAATAACCAACCTATTCAATAATACCTATAATTAATTTTTAGATTGATTAATGACAACAACAAATAACATTGAATGTTCTGCTGTTAACTTAGTATCAGAGGAGACTGAAAACTTGAGTCGGTATTTGAGGGAAAAACGTTTGGATATAGTAGAGCTATCGTATGCTAATCAGAACGTAGCGGAGATTGGAACCAGCATTTACTATCTGTAGAGAAAATGCTCCTTTTTATGGTGTTTGCTGGACACTACAAATATGGTGTTATATATACCTCAATATTTACGTGATATGAAAAGTCTATGTACCTATGTTTGTTCTAAGCCCATATCAGTCCAAACGCCGTTAGGCACCCCATTTTTTTAATTGAATGTTGAATTTTCCTTTTAGAAACACTTCGTGTACTTCTGGAGCAGAAAGTTTTAGAATTGTCATATCACGTAGATATAATAATGAAATATATATGACACATATTTGTAGTGTCCAGTAGCAGACACCATAAAAGGGAGCATTTTCTCTACAGATAGTAAATGCTGGTTCCAATCTCCGCTACGTTCTGATTAGCATACGATAGCTCTACCATTTCTAAGCGTTTTTCCCTCAAATAACGTCTTAAGTTTTCAGTCTCCTCTGATACTAAGTTAACATCAGAACATTCAATGTTATTTGTTGTTGTCATTACTCAATCTAAAAATTAATTAGAGTAGGAGCTGAATCAGGAACAAAGATGAATATGATAAACAACACTGGACATAAATAACAACATGAATGATATTTTCAATCGAATCTATTCAAACATTTTAAACCACTGCCGTTGTCAATTACCTTTATCTACAAGCGTTTGGTTATGACGTTTTTACATAACCATCTTTTGGGTATTTGAGTTATGTCATGAGACTCATAACACAACTAGTGGTGTTATGGACTAGGTTAGGAATTCATAACACAACCAGTGGTGTTATGGACTAGGTTATGAATCTATAACACAACTATTTTTGGTGTTTTGACAAATGTCAAAATTTAACCTGCGAATGTAAAATGAAGGTAGACAACTACTAATAAACGAAAATAATTGAAAAAACATTCTTATTTTTCGCTTTGTAGATAAAACGTTGTACATCACACGTGCGTTTAAACATGTCTACAAAACTCGTGTGATTAGAACGACTCGGTCTACGACACTCGGTCTTCCACACTCGTTATTGCAATCATGTTTTTAAACGCACTTGTAATGAAATAGTATATTAAGCAACAAGTGAGGTTTTACCAATTGAGTGTGGCCAGTTTTGTGTACGAGCGAGCGAAGCGAGCGAGTGCTCTAAGGCCTCACGATATTGGTAAAACCCTTTGCAAATGCGTTGCTTATACTATTTTTTCTACTGACGTTTCATAATAGCAACTTTTCGATTGTCATTTTAATTTTAAAACGACATTCTTTTAAGCACTGAGTGCGTGAAAGTTACTTTTAAGCACTCAGTGCGTGAAAGTGACTTTTGAATGCGTAAAAATGACTTTTGAGTGCGTAAAACTAATTTTTAAGCACTAGTGCGTAAAAGTGTCATTCATTATTCAGAAATAACAAACACACTAAACACAGATTTGAATTTTGTTTTTCATTTATTATGAATATTGAAAATGGAATTACTGAATTGAACGTTTGGGTTACTCAAAACAGAACTTTGTGTTGTTACCTACTTTCTAGGATTTTAATTATTGATGTCGAATCTTGAAAAAAAAATCGCATGAAAAGTGTCAGGTGTCAAGTAAAAGCAGGTAACAAAGATTTTGGGCGTAATCGACTTATTCACATTAATAAAATTGTGTTTTTTTATTATAAAATGCCAATAGAAAAAATCTTGTATACAATACGTTACGAAACGATGTCTTTTAGTCACTCGACGTGTTGTCCAACTCGGCTTTGCCTCGTTGGACAATTTTCACGTCGCGTGCCTAAAAGACGCTCATTTCGTAACTTATTGTATAAATAGGTATTATCGCATTTTCTCTTAAAATAATTGAGAAATGTTCTTCATATGTTCTTATTTTTGATAAGACAACATCATTTTTGAAATCATAACAGACCTGTGCCTGGTGGCCCATGCCTGGCTGGTTTTTCTTTTCGGTAACTTAGAAACCAGTGACATTATTCAAACAAAAAATCAGAAAAAAATTTCGGAACCGCGTCCAGTCTATGGCGTCCAGTGAAATGAATCCGAAGATTTTGGAAGCAGCTCGTGCTGCTACAGCAAGGCTGCTGCCTGAGAAATCAAAATCAAAGTCTGAGAAAGAATATGACCAATTCCGTCAATGGAAATTAATGAATAACGTGGAAGAAGTGCCAAATGAGGACCTCATGTTGGCTTTTTTTTATGAAAAGGTAAATCAATTAAATATAACTGTTTCAAATCCTGTGTTCATAAGATATTTTTTCCTAAATTTTGATAGAAATTTGAAATACAAATTTGTTTTCATGACATTGACATTGTCAAGGTTTAAGGTTCTTCTACACGACACTTTAAAGAACGTTCGCTTTTTATTGTTTCAGGCGGGGTTGTCCTGGATCAACATTCCGATTCGTCTATCCGGCAAACGCAACAAATAGAAGTTAATAATTATATTATCAATTTTTTGATAACCAGAAATAAAATAACTATTTCCTATTTTTAATTTATTTGATTGGCGTGAAATTGCGAAATGCTGCAATTTCGCACACTGTGAATAAGGCTTAACAAATGAAAATTGATTTACAAAATGGTTGCTATCAATGACGTTGCTATGTGGTAAAGTGTTGCTATCGAGGTAAAGTGGCACTTTACCACTCAATTTTGAATGCAGTTATGTATCACATTACTGTCAAAAATGCGATAACTATTATCGGCCACACTTTATTTTACATATTATTTCTCCTTCTCCAAAATTAAAATTTACTAAAATGAACTTTGAAATAAACCCCCGATTAAGTATTAGGCAATTCAATCCATCTGTGAAAAAGGAAAATTCAATGTGGCGTGGCGGCCAAGCAAGTTTGTTTTGAATATGTTTTCATGCGTATTTTAAATTATTTTGCTTAGAGTTTTGTTTGCAATTTTGATTTTGATTATTTAATAAAATATTTTTTGACTATGTAGGGGAGAGGGGGGCACATTCAACCAAGGGGCACATTCAACCAGTGCCAGTAAAATTTATTTTAATTCGAATTTACCGCCGCAAAGTGTGACACAATCATGTGATTTGTCCTTCCCATTCACCAAAGGAATTTGGAAGCCATAGCTGCCATGCCTCGTGTGTAGTGCGTATGTACGTGAAAATTGTGCTCAAAAGGTAAGTTTTTAGTTTTTCGTTTCACGAAGAGTTTCTTGCAATATTTATCGCTAATCAGTGAAATACCATATTATAACAGTTAGTAATTAATATTTTTCGCCCGTCCTAACCTTAAAATTACTCCTATAGCAACAACTCGATTTTATGTCTGAAATTTGGGAAGGGGCACATTCAACCACTTGTAAGCGGGGCAGTTTCAACCAGTGGTTGAATCTGCCCCGCCTATTTTTCTTGATGGTTGAATCTGCCCCGCATTGAGTATAAACAATTTTTTTTAAAAATTTAAGATGGTAAGAACTTACGTAAGAAAGACCGAGAGGTCACAGATTAATGAGGCAGCTCTGAAAAATGCAATTTGTGAAGTCTTGAGGCAAAGAATGTCAGAGAGAGTGGCTGCAAGAACTTTTAACGTCAAACGGGATACATTGCATTCTAGAATTAAGAAGCTGAGAAGAAAATACTCGCCGGAACGTTTAGTTAGAATGTACAATGAGGACTCTGGTAATGAAAGTAGTGACCAGGAAAATTCCCAACCCATAGTATATTCCAGTAAATATACTGTAGCGCAAGTATTTACTAATGACCAAGAATCCGAGCTAGTAAAATATATAAAAGTATGTTCCGACATGAATTATGGTATGACCTACAAGCAAATCAGGACTTTAGCTTATGATTATGCTAAAATGCTTTCGGACTGTAAGTTTCCTGACGCATGGAATGGTAATAAAAAGGCGGGTGTAGACTGGCTCAAAGGTTTTATGAAAAGAAATCGTGATAAAATTAGTTTGAGAAAACCAGAAAATACTAGTTTGGCACGGGCAACAGGGTTTAATAAAAAAGCTGTCAATGAATTTTTTGATAACTTTGTAAGCGTCCTAAAAAAATTTAATTTTAAACCCGAGAATATTTACAACATTGATGAAACTGGAGTTACTACCGTTTTAAAAGCTGTCAAAATAGTTTCAGCTAAAGGAAAAAAGCAAGTAAGCTTAGCTGCATCTGCAGAAAGAGGGGAGTTAACGACATTCGTCGGTATAGTAAATGCAATTGGAAACGCTCTGCCCCCAGTATATGTGTTCCCCAGGGTACGCCATCCCGAGGAATACCTTACTGAAGCCCCACCATCAAGTCTTGGCCTAGGAAGCAAAAAAGGGTGGATGACTTCCGACTTGTTCTTGAGTGTTCTTGAGCATATTGTGAAGTATACTAAATGTAACAAAGAAGATAGAATTCTTCTTTTGATGGATAACCATGAGTCACACATAACAGTAAAGGCTGTAAACTTTTGTCGCGATAACGGTATAACAATGTTATCATTTCCACCTCACACGTCACATAAGTTGCAGCCGTTGGATATTGGTGTTTTTGGGCCATTTAAAACATACTGCGCTACTTCTTTTAATGACTGGATGACGATGAATCCCGGAAAAACAATAACAATAAAACAAATTGCCCAGCTAACCAAGCCTGCCTTTCAACAAGCATTTTCTCAAAAAAATATCACAAAATCGTTTGAAAAACCAGGACTTTGGCCTTTGAACAGGCTTGCCTTTAGTGACGGTGAATTTATAGCAAGTTATGCAGATCCTATGCCTTTGCCATCTGAAGGACAATCCACTTCCCAAATTAATTCGGAAGCTTCTGTGGTTCAAAACGGTAAGATACCTTTTAATATAAAAAATATTTTTTGAATATATTTTTATTACAGATTTAGTAGCAGATTTAGCTACACCATCAGCATCAAGCGTACCGTCAACACCAAAACCTAGGCAAAGTGATCTCAACATAAATACCGGTGAATACTACTTATGTTCTTTTACCTTAAAAAATATTTTAATTACGCTTTTTTCTCTTTAGATTCGCTCAAATCTCAAAGAATCACACCAGAATCAGTAAGACCATTTCCCAGACCAAAAGTAAATAAAAATCAAGACAATAAAAAATCGAAACGTGGGAAGTCAAGAATTTACACAGACACGCCTGAAAAGAATCGATTAGAGGAATTAGAGGATGAAAAAATAAAAAGAAAAACCAAACAAGAAGAAAGAAAACGGAAAATGGTTACAAAACAAGTTTTTTCGGACGATCAGCAGTTGAACAACAAGAAAGAAATGAAGCAGATTAAGAAACGAAGACTTGAGCCTAAGCCTAGCTCCAGTAGTTCCGATTCAGAAGAATCAGTTCCATTAGAATCCGATGGTCTAAGTGATAATTTCAGCGAAGAGGAGAATTTTGTGGGTCTATTACAAGACGACGAGGAAATAACAGCAGGCGATTTTCTACTGGTAAAATTTCCGATGAAATCGTACATTAGATATTACGTTGGAAAGGTGCTGGAAAAAATAAATTTGAATGAATGCCAAATGAAATATTTACGCCGAAAGCCACCATCCTTCACATTTTTTTACCCATTAGTCGACGATGTATCCATTGTAGACAGAACTGACATAGTTTCCAAATTGCCGCCACCTAACACAGCTAAAACTGCTCGGACGTCCTCTTTGCTTACATTCAATGTGAATTTCGAAACCTACAATATATGCTAACTGCTAAAATATTTGTATTTTGTGAATATCCCCTCTTTTTTGAATAATGTTTCATTTATTGAAGAATTTTTAATAAAATAGTGTCCTTTTCTCGACATAAGCGATTTATTTATGATGAAAACCCATCAATTACATCATTGGTTTAATGTGCCCCTATCAACGGTTGAATGTGCCCCACCGGAGGGGCAGATTCAACCATTTGTTAAGGATTTTCAAAATTAAGTTTTTGGAGATATTTTTTTTTATTAGGTATTTCCATTAGGATATTTTAGGAGAAAAAATTTCAAAGTATATCTTAAAAATACTTTGGTTTATTTGCTTTAGTATGAAAGCTTAGTTATTGTAGATTTTCAGAAAAATGGTTGAATCTGCCCCCCTCTCCCCTACCTAAATTATTGAATCGGGCTGAAGCTAGATATTTTTTTGTGTTTTTTGGTCCATGTGTGGCCGCCACGCCATCTTGAATGTCACGTGGTTTGGATTGCCTAATTCACTCAATTGCATTTGTTTTTGTTGTTATAAATTATAGATATAGGTATAGGATTATTTACTCTTTGGTCATATTACCTTTTAATTTGTTAGGTTCAATTTTAAAAACATTTCAATTAATTCCAAAACACAAGACACAACCAAGCCAAGCCAAATATGAAAAACTGAAAGTGAAAACAACAAACAAGGAAACAACAAATGACTCGAATGAATGTGAGGTTATGTTAACGGGATATTCAATCAAAATTGACCTTTCGTTTAGGCATTTTCATTCGGCGGTTTTTAGTTTTCACGCACAACGGACACAACATTGACAAATGATGTTTTTCTACGAGCGTGCATTTTTTATCACTTTCCCGCGCATTTTAGTTCCGAAAATATCACTTTCCCGTAATTGAACGATTGAACGATTTCTTCAATAATATATCGCTTTGAATTTACTTAATTTTTATTTTTATATTTGAACGCGCCCGTAGAAAAAATAATGTTCCTTACTCATGCGGAAAAGTTACTTTTCCGCACGATTTTTCGTTTTGAAAGTTGTACTTTTCCGCACGATTTTACTTTTCCGTACGATTTTACTTTTCCGCACTATTTTTTTACTTTTCCGCACGATTTTTACTTTTACTGAAAAGTGTACCCATATTAAAGTTCGGAGGCCCCCCATTTGGGGGGGCGGAGCCCCGCGGTGGCCCCCTTTTTGGGGGGCATAGTTCCGCGGGGCCCCATTTTTGAGAGGCACAGTCCCGCGGGGCCCCTTTTTGGGGGGCGAAGCCCTGGGAGCTCCTTTTTGGGGGGGTGAAGCCTCTTATTTGGGGGGCGGAGCCCCTTATTTGGGGGCACAGCCCCGCAGGGCTCTCTATTTTGGGTGACATAGCCCCGCGAAGGTAGGGAATCCTAACAATTTTTTTGGCCAATTTAGTTATAGGCCAAGGATCATGATAAAAAAATCCGGTTCCATTATTTTTTTGTGTATAAAAAAATCGTGCGGAAAAAGTAAAATCGTGCGGAAAAGCAAAATCGTGCTGAAAAGTTACTTTTCCGCACGATTTTTTTATTGCTAAAAATGAAGATATTTAGGATCAAATAAATGATTTATGTTATATATTATTTTATATTATGTGCTATTTTGTACCATCATTATAAAATCTGCGTATTGGAACATTTTTTTTGATAAATAAGATGGACAAAAGCACTCGTAGGAAAAATATTGTACCTAACTCTTGCGGAAAATGTCTTTTCCACCCTCGACGGCTTGCCCGAACTCCGCTCCGCGTCGTTCATGCAACTGCTTAAGTCTTGTGCGGAAAAGTACCACTTTCCGCACTTGTTAGGTAAATAACTATTTCTGTGTGGTTTGATGTGTAGTGTTTTCCCCATACTATTTTTGTAATGAAATTATTCATTTATATTATTTTAGAAGACATTTATTTTATATCAGGTATCCTCTATCCTAAATAATGGTTCGGTTCGGCATCAAAGAAAGGTATAAATCTATTATATTGTCTAGACCTTTTCCAGCCGATTTAGGAAAGATTGGGAGAAGAAAAAGTCAGTCTGGAGCTAACTTCCAGTGAGAAGACAGCTTTGTTGAGAGACATTTTTTGTAAGACTTTCTCTCGAATCTCTGATGCGTAACATTTTATAACAAAAAGTATTTTGAACAAAAAGTTATACAATATTGTTTCATTACGGTCGGTATTATCGTGATCGGTATTGTAATTACTACAGATGTGATAATTTATGACGCCTGTAAATTTTTTTATTTTCAACCACATATGTAATGTTGACATTGCAGGTTTTTCAAAATCTTGAAAGTGTCACATTTCTGGACTTTGACATTTATCGGGACGGTAATGCATATGCCTGCCTAGGACGGAAAAGCATTTTCCGTCCCCATTTCCCTGCTCGTTCCAAATTGATAATTTTCATACAGCTCTCACATATAATAATAAAACCACATGTATTACATGGAACTAATTAAATCTATTCACTTATTTACATTAATTGTTAAATTAGCATTGTTGTTTATAATGGAAATCTTGAGACCATCCTGTTGGAATTGTGTTTCGTTTGGAACTATTATCTCTTGCGCTTGCGGATGAGTTTCCGCATGTGATGTACTTGTGGATGCACTGGACAACTGAATACCTTTGGAAGTAGAGGATAGCATCAGAGCAGTCTTACTTTTGTTCTCCAAAGATGCCTCTATGTAGCCTTCAGCAACCGTGCTCGATTTCCACCCTCCCAGTCTTTTGAGTTGCAATAGATCGGCCCCGTTGTCAACCAATAAGGTTGCGGAAGTACGACGAAAAGCATGCCCTGTAAAAGTTTCAATTTTTGGAAGCTTCAAAAAAGCAGCTATTTTATGTGGAAATTTTGAGATTGAATGATAGCCAATTGCTTGGTTATGTAATTTCCCATTTCGCCATTGAACAAATAACCTGTCATTTTTCAAATTTTTCCGCAAAGTGAGGTATTTGTGGAAAATAGCAACCCAATCTGGATCGCTTATGATAAACGATCGACTTGTGTAAGTTTTTGTGTGTGGAATTTCTATAGCGATCTTTCCTTCCAAAACGTTGACGTGCTCCATTTTCATCTTGACTAGTTCATCGCTCCTACATGCACCCGACACACCAACAATTAGCGCTACCTGAAACCAGATAAAAATAAAATGGGTAACCTAGCTATAGCATACAGAAAATCATTTTGATTTTCGCATTTTTATCTTCTTTGTATATTTTTTGAAAACCTACCTTGATGCTAATGAATTCTTCAGCTGCCTTCGTGAGGAACTCGTTAATGTTTTCTCTGGAAAAAACGCTCGACTTTTTCGGCTGAAAGCCCAGATTTTGCCGCTTCAAAAAAGCTATAAGTTTTGCGTAATTGGAGATATCAACTTTCTCTTTCAATTTAATCATGGTTTTCAACATACTGTAAGTCGACCATAAAGTCGAAGGCTTCTTTTCCTTAGATAATTCGCCAAAATACGCCAACAAAACGGTCTCCGAGGCAGTATTTCTCGTTCCTTTCTGGCTACACCATGCTTCGAATATTTGAAAAGCCTTTTCGTACCGAAATTTGCTTTTTGCTGGAAGCAAACTCTCTCCAATCCTGTCTGCTGCTTCTTTTAATTCAGGTGGGGTACAATCCATCGCTTCATCTTCACTTTCCGAAATCATTTCTTTGGGGAGAACGGGGAGAAATCTAGTGAAAATCTATTATTTCCGCAAAAATACTGAGCGAAAACTACCGTCGTTAAGGCGTTGTTGATCTTATCTATGGTTGTTGATTTTGCGGTTTCCTGTGGTTTCGTCTTTTGTTTTGGCCTTTACAGGGCCTTTGAGATCGTCAAAATTGATGACATTGACAAAAAAAGTGAAATATTTTTTTCTAAGGGCCAGTTTTACACTATATGAAAATTTCGTATAACAGAATCTTTAGTTTTTGCATCAGAAAATTAAGGGTTGAAAATAAAAAAGTATACAAACCTCGACGGAAAACTTCATTTCTGTCTCGAGGTTGAGTTTATCTCGACGCTTCGCGTCTCGATAAACTATAATAACCTCTCGACCAGCAATGAAGTATTTTCCGTCCTCGGATTGTAATATACTATTATTGCAATCATATATGTAATCTTGTCATTACTGACTTTTTAAAAATTTGGAAGTGACACTTTACCTGTGTCACTTCCCTCTTCGATTTCCCTCACCGATTTCCTATTCGACTTCCCTCACCGATTTCCCTCACTCTAATTTATTTACCTTTGCTGGCAACAATGAGCACATGTCAGGTAAAAACGTCAAAGCAGTGAATGACACATTTTGGCATGTTTGTTTTATTTTTTTAATATTAAAAAAATTGATTGACTAATCATA